TGAGTTTTGTGTTTAAAAAATATAACATTTTTTACTGCTTGACAAATGTTCACGGTGGCATTTAAGCAAATAAAAGTACAACAGAAAAAAACAAAGATCTCTTAATCTACATATTACTGAATAGATTTATGGGACCTTTCTGTATTCTCTATTTCTTTTCTATTGCTGCATAACACATTACCACAAATAGCAGCTGTTATGATTATGTAACAGGTTCTATAGAACAGAGACCCAGGCTCAGCTTTCCTGAGTCTCTCTGTTCAGAGTGTCACAGGCTGAAGTCACAGTTGTTAGCCAGGCTGTTTTCTATCTGGAGACTTGACTGGGAAAGACTCTCCTTCCAAATTGATTTTCTTGTGGTTGTCAGACTGTGGACTTTGGCTTTCTGCTCAAGGTCAGCTGGTATCCACCCACACACAGTTTCTGCCCTGTGGCTGTCTCGCAGGGCTGCTCGCTTCCTCAAGGCTAAAAGAGTCTCTAGCTCCTTTGCTAAGATGGATTCTGTGACAGTGTAATCACAGAAGTGGTGGTACCCATAGCCTTTCCTAGGACCTGTTGGTTAAAAGTAAATGTGGTCTCCCAGGGAAGGGCACCAGAGATGATCTGTCCACCGCACATTCTCTATGTAAATTCGGATTTCTCCTACAAGTAACACAGAAGAAAAACATACATCAAGAACACAGGGTTTTATGAGCACTTTATATCAAGTTATAAAGGCTGAATACATTACCTCAACTCTTTTACTGCAAGTACAGGCTTACTCTTTGTGAGTTCGAGGCCAGCCTGGTCTACATAGTGAGTTCCAGGACAGCTAGGGCTACAGGGAGACCCTGTCTCAAAAAAGACAAAATTAAATAAACAAACAAACAAACAAACAAACAAACATAATGGCCAGTGGTATAGTTCAGTGGTAAAGCATTTTAGCATGTACAGGTATGGGTTCAAACCCCAGCACATACACACGTACGTACACACACACACACACACACACACACACACACACAGAGACAGAAAGAGAGAGAGAGACAGAGGCAGAAACAGAGACAGAGAGAGAATATCCTATCCAATGTGGTGGTATTATAAATATTCAGAGATGTCATTTAAGAAAAATTTAAAGTGTATGTTTCCATTTGGGTTGTTGTTTATCACAAAACTAACAAAATGTTGTAAGACCACATTATAATCACCCAAACAGGCTCTAGGGGTATCTGGTATTAACCCCAGCTATACCTACTTAACTTGCTATGGAAAGTGACTTAAATTCTTGTGCCCTCCATCTGTAGACCTTTGCACATGCCGTTTCCTCTTCCTCTTACACTCCTTGTCTTCATCTCTTCTTAGCTAGATGCTATGTTTAAATATAGGTGCCGCCTTTGAAATTCTTGTCAAAATTTCATTCCAAAGTTGAGAGGTAGTGAGGACATTAAGCGATGAAAGGGGTTTAGAGGGGCCATGCCTTTCTAGAAGGACTAGGTTAGTTCTCACGGTTGTGAGGTCTCAGTTTCATGGAACTAGATGAGTTGCCAGAAGAACTGCTTGCCCTGCTGACTTCCACCATGTATAAGACCCTTGCCAGACGTGGCCACCTGATCTTAGACTGCCAGTCTCCAGAAATGTAAGCTAATCTTTTTTCCTTTATAAATTACTCACTCTCTGGCACTCTGTAATAGCAACAGAAAGAGGTAAGAGGCAGGGATGGCAGGGGAACCTCCCCCATTACAGCAAAGGACAGAGGTGGCAGTGCCAGCTGTCTAGAGCAGAGCTCACTGCCCAGCATGGTGGATGCCTAATACAATGGACTAGAGCTCAGAAGGGCAGGAATGTCATCACTGTAAAACCAGCTTTGGCAGCTTCCTGATTCTCTGGCCTACCTAGAGATTTCATCTGTTATCAATGCCATTACATTTCTATGTACAATAAACCCAAATCAGTTTTTCCTACTTACTACTAAGAACCCCGTGTTACTACTATAGCTGGTACATCCCTTCCCTGTCCTTTACCAGACTTGCTGTAATTTAATTGCTTATTTATCTTGACTAATTGTAAAGTCCTTGATCTCCAATTCATTAAAGAAGCCAGTTGAACATGAATAAAACCCTAAGCTCTCGGGGTTGGAGAAATGGCTCAGCAGTTAAGAACACTGGCTGCTCTTGCAGAGGACCCAAGTTTGAATCCCAGCACTCACATGGCTGCTAACAACCGTCTATAATTCCAGTTGAGGGGATCCAACACCCTCTTCTGTCTTCCATAGGCACTGCATAACACAGATGTACTTACATACATGCAGGGAATACACTCATACACATAAAATAAAAACAAAATTAAAAAAAATTAAAACCTGATATCTCATTTTCTCATCTAAAAATTGGGAGAGTTCTGTTGTTAAGGAAGACTGTGAATGTTCTAAAGGAAAGAGAGGAAAGTGAGAGAGCAAGAGGGCAAGCAGAGAAAGAGAGAGAGAGAGTGAGAGAGAGAGAAACACTGGAGATTCATGTCAGTGGTAGAGCACTTGCTTAGCATGTATGAGGCCCTAGGATCAATCCCCAGCACCACACAATCAAAAAAGACATACTGCTGGGCACAATGGCACAGGCCTGGGTGTGGTGGTACAGGCCTGTAATCCCAGCACTTAAGAAATTAAAACTTGAGAACTGCCATAATTCTAGACTATATAGTTTTCCAGCCATCCCACACAGCAATACTTTGTCTAACAAGGAAAAAAAAAAAGAGCCGGGAGTGGTGGTGCATGCCTTTAATCCCAGCACTTGAGAGGCAGAGGCAGGCAGATCTCTGTGAGTTCAAGGCCAGCCTGGTCTACATAGTGAGTTCCAGGACAGCTGGAGGCCCTGTCTCAAAAAGATAAAAGGAAAGAAAAAAACTATTTTATGTTGCTGTGGTGGCACACATCTCTAAGTCCATCACTTGGGAAACTAAAGTAGGATGAGGGTGAGTTCAAGGTCAGCCTGATACAAAGTGAGACCGTGTCTCAGAAAAAAAGGAGGGGGGGAGGGTTTCAGAGTGTTAAACTCATGGCAACCAGCCTGTGCATTAGTGTTTGCTGCATGTGTTCTTACATGGGGACACACAGAAAACAACTCACAGACCTCTCAGCATCTCTGTAAAATAAAAACGATTATTTTACAGCTCTAAGAAAAAGAACCAGGCATGGTGGCGCATGCCTATAATTCCAGCATTCAGTAAACCAAGGCAGGAGGATTGTCATGAGTTCAAGGTCAGCCTGGGCTACAGAGCGAGTTTCAGGTTAGTCTTGGCTAGAGTGAGACCATGTCTCAAAAGCTATCAAGGGGCCAAGAATGTGGTTCAGTTTGTAGAATACTTGCCTAGCATGCACAAAACCCTGGGTTTGATTCCCCAGCACCCCATAAAACTGAGTGTGGTGGTGATCTCCAGTAATCTCAACCCTCAGGAGGTGGAAGGAGGAAGATCAGAAGTTTAAGGCCATCCTCAGCTCCATACTGAGTTCTAGACCAGCCTGAGATACATGAGACTCTGTATAAATTAATTAATTAATTAATCAATCAAATAAAACAGAGAGAGAGAGAGAGAAAGAGAAACTGGCTCAGTGAAAGTAATTTAATTATTCTGGGTACCAACCTTAATAAGCTTCAATGACCAAATAAATTCCTCACTTCTAGCCCATTCTACTTCCCTATCCAGTGATAGATCATTAATTTAAAATCCTAACTATAGTAAACAACACTTCAATATTCCAAAATATTTTTAAAAAAAAAATACCCAGGATTTTGAGTATTACCAGCATAAATGATAAGTGTCTGAAAGGACAGACCTGTCCATATCTGATCAGTGCATATTATAGACACGTATTGCAAACTCACACTGTGCTCTATTCATACATAAAACTACTATGTGCTGATACAAAAATAAACTGCAGATGTAGCTCACCTGGTAGAGGGCTTGCTATTCCCAGCACTGTATAGACCTGGCTTGGTGGTGCATACTGGCAATCCCAGCACTCAGAAGATGGATGTAGAAGTATCTGAAGTTTTAGGGCATCACCAGCTACCTAGTGAGTTCTGGGCCAGCCTGAGCTACATGAGAGTGTCTCAAAAAAAAAAAAGCAATGTATTGAAATACTTTACAACCCTTTGACAGTTTTCGTAGTCTACACAGGCCTTACTGTCGCAGTTTCCCTGTTAAGCCTTCCACCCTTGTTTCTGGTGTCCTTAGGTATCCCCAGATTTCTGTCACACCCCATAAACACGCCCAGGTGAACATACTTCATAAATTGTTTCCTGTGCGCATCGTACATAATCACCTTGCATTTCCATACATCTGTGAGTTCACAGCATGATCAGCCACATACTGGCTCTTAACATGATTGAATCCTATTTCTGATTCCTGACAGTTTCATTTCTTTTAAGAATCAGTTCTCATTTAAGGTTCTTAGCTATTTAAAAGATTCACAGATTCAAAGTCAAGTGTGAATGCACTCAGTTCACCGGATATTTTTTCCTTTTGATAATCTCCGAGGGAACGCAAAATACGGTGAAGGATTCTCTCTGTAGTGAATTCTCTCTTAACGCGTCCTGAGCACTTACCTCCCAAATCTTGGGATCCGAGGCATGTTTCTCCCTTCAAATTGTTTGTGCTGAGCCCGGAGCCTGCAAACCACTCGTAATGAGCCCGGAGCCTGCAAACCTCTCGTACTAAGCCCGGAGCCTGCTAGCCGCTGGTACTGAGCGCCGAGCCTGCAAACCGCTCATGCTAAGCCCGGAGCCTAATTGGTCAAGGTCACCGCGGCAGGTGGCTTCCCGCGAACCCGGCCCAGAGCCGCTCCGCCAGGCGGGTTTTGCCCCTTGGCTCCAGCACGCTCTCCCGGCTCTGGGGTCACCCGGGCGGTGCAGGGGACCCCCGTCGTGTCCGCGGTGGCCGCGCGTCTGGAAGGTTCCCAGGCGCGGGGGGTGGGGCGGCCGGCGGGGCGGGGCGGCGGCGGGCTCCACCTTCGGGGCCGCTGGCCGCCCGTTGGCAGACGCGGCGCTCCGCCCGCCGGGAGGAGACGCTCGGCGCGGTCTGCCGCTGTTGCCGTCCGGGTCGTCTCCCGCCGCCAGAGCCACGCCGCGCCCGGGCCATGCAGCGCCTGGCCATGGACCTGCGGGTACTTTCCCGGGAGCTATTGCTCTACCTGGAGCACCAGGTCCGCATCGGCTTCTTCGGCTCCGGGGTGGGCTTGTCGCTCATCCTCGGCTTCAGCGTCGCTTACGCCTGCTACTACTTGAGCAGCATTGCCAAGGTGAGCCGCCGGCGAGAGTGGCAGCCCGGGGTCCAGCCTAGGCTCCGAGGGGGTCCCCGGGAGCCCGGCGGGCGCGCGCCCAGGGTCGCGACTCGGTTCTCGCTTGCGCTGCCCGGATGCTGCCCACCCACCTGCACCCCGACAGCTCGGCAGTGCCGCACTTAGGCATACCACCCTCTTCTCAGCTGTCGCCCCCCCCCCCGCCCCGGACGTGATAAAGTGCTGTTTGAGACTGTTGTGATTGTGGATTCTGTGCATCAGTCTACTGGGAAATGGAATGGGAGGGCTCCCAGCGTGCGGCCTAGGGGTGGGGACACCGCTAAGTCTGCTGGTGTCTGGTTTACGGTTGCCTTAAACTTTGTTCTGGACCCTTCACCGATGCTGGTTCTTCCTGCAGAAACCCCAGTTAGTGACGGGAGGGGAGAGTTTCAACCGGTTCCTCCAGGACCACTGTCCCGTGGTGACAGAAACGTATTACCCGACCGTGTGGTGCTGGGAGAGCCGAGGACAGACGCTTCTGAGACCCTTCATCACCTCCAAGCCCCCAGTGCAGTACAGGAAGTAAGTGGAGATCCATGTGGACATGTGTCTTTAAAATCACAATTGTTTTCCTTACTCCCAGTGCTTACTTAATACAAGTTCTGGTTTACAGAACAGAAAGAACCCACCATCACCACCACCACCACACACATACACCTACCTCCAGCTGCAGGAAAATATACAGTTCTCTCTCTCTCTCTCTCTCTCTCTCTCTCTCTCTCTCTCTCTCTCTCTCTCCCCTTTTCCTTTTCACTCTAGTGTAAATGGACAAAGTGGAAGCCCAGGCTTATTTCTGGGATGTGAGAAAGAAGCGCTTGGGGTTACTGTTTTCCAATTTGCCATTTCCAGTTTGTCCTTGAGGGCCTAGACACCTTGATGAGGTGCACAGATTTATTAGTGTGTTGCAGATCAGATTCTGGGGTGAGACAGCTGTCAGTCCCTTCAGGTTTTGTGTGTCACTGGTAAAGAGTTTCATAGTAATAGGCAGATGGGTTCTTGATGAATGCCCTTGAGATGCCTCAGAACATATCTATAACCAGATTTAGATGGTTCTTGTTACTAACTTCCCTGAGTCACCTGGGCTTGCTGGAGTTCCTTATGTGGCTGCATATTTGTTCATAGGTGCTATGTGAGAAGTTACTTAAGAGGAACATTCTGTAATGTACTCTGCACAGAAACTGTATCATTGAGTCAAAAGATCTGCAAGAGCAGCATTGTACTTACTCATAACTCCCTGTTGTTATCTGAGTGACCTCAATCAAACAGGGGTTAAATGCTAAGTATTTGAGAGTAATTTCATGCATGCATACAATGTATTTTGATCACATTCACACACAACCCCAATTACTCTGTCTTATCACTCTCTGAAGTTCATTTTTTACCTACTACCTTTCATTGGGGCTGCTGGAAATATGATATTAATCATTATAACATCTTTATAATGAAAGTGACCTATAGATTATGTATGTATTTGTGAATATTGACAAAAGCTACTTTAACATGACCAGATGGTGTCATATTTATAGAATAACTTGAAACACTTAATGAGTATGCCTTTTGAATTGTTTTCTTCAGTGAACTTATTAAAACTGCAGATGGAGGACAGATTTCACTGGACTGGTTTGATAATGAGAACAGTGCGTGTTATGTGGACACCAGCACCAGACCTACTATCCTGTTGTTGCCTGGCCTCACTGGGACAAGCAAGGAATCCTACATCCTTCATATGATTCATCTCAGTGAAGAATTAGGATACAGGTACCAGTGAAAGCTCTTTCCCCATTTTTCACTTAATTCTTGCCAAGTGGTATAAAATCTGGCCGGTACGGTAGCTCTCACTTTTAAACCTAGCACTTGGGAGGCAGATATGTGGATTTCTGTGAGTACAAGCCACTCCTGGTCTACATAGAGTCCCACCACAGCCAGGGCTACATGGTGAGACCATACTCTCCCTTTAAAAAAAAGGGGGGGGGAAGGGGGCAGGGCATGGTGGTGCATGCCTTTAATCCCAGCACTGGGAGGCAAAGTCAGGCGGATCTTTGTTAGTTCGAGTCCAGCCTGGTCTACATAGTGAATTCCAGGACAGCTGGGGCTACAGAGAGACCCTGTCTCAAAAAGGCAAAAAAAAAAAAAAAAAAAAAAAAAAGAAAAAAGGGAAGGGGGCTGGAGAGATGGTTTAGCGGTTAAGAACACTGTTCTTGCAGAAGACTGGGGTTCAAATCCCAACACTCACATGGCAGCTATCAACTATCCATAACTCCAGTTCCAGGGGATCTGACAGCCTCTTCTGTCCTCCATGGGCATTGCACGACATGGGTACACTTACCTACATGTAGGCATAACACTCATACACATAAAATAAAAATAATAAATAAATTTTTTTTTTAAAAAAAAGGGAAGGAAGCCGGGTGTGGTGGCACACGCCTTTAATCCCAGCACTCAGGAGGCAGAGGTAGGTGGATCTCTGTGAGTCTGTGAGTTTGAGGCCAGCCTGGTCTACATAGTGAGTTCCAGGCCAGCTGGGGCTACAGGGAGACCCTGTCTCAAAAAGACCAAAAAAAAAAGGAACAAAGTAGAAATATACATATTTCAAGGTGAATGTTTTAAATGCATACACACACATATGTATATATGACCTCTTGAGTAAAGAATCCACCGTTACTCTTTTTCTCTCTTTGCTTCTGCTTTTCCTTCTTTTATTGGGAAGATACAATAACTGAGTCATTGTACAAGAAATGACTCTTGGTGTACTAGCCACTCAGCAAGCTTAGGGTAAATGAGCAATGAAATCAGAATCACCTGAGCCTCTCCCCCAACCTCCAGGGCCAGGTCTGAGAAGCAGTAGAACGACAGCAGTTACAAACTCCTGAGAGAGTCCTCAGTGGCACTTATGTCACACTCTGTATTTGGGCCTTAGATTTGCTAATCTTATCTCCCTGGCTTAGATCCGAGTGTAAAAAGAGCCCTGCACAGCATGTAGATCATCCTGATTTTTCCAAAGGTAATCCATGGCCCTTGTGTCCACCTGAATTTGCAGGTGCACATGGCTGGTGTCCAGTTGATACCACAGCATTTTTGAGTAACCATTATTCAGCTTGCCACCAGGTACAATTTAATTTTTCCAAGTGACTTAGCAGCTTTAAGTTTCAGCTCTGGAATCTTTAAGCAGGTCTGTTATGAAAGGTGCGATTTTTTTTTTGTGCTTCTGTCTTTTTTAGCTGACGGTAATTATTGTAATGGTACAGTCTGTGACTTGTACTTAGAGTCATATCGTTTTCTAAACTTGAAACACTCATTTGTATGAAAAACTAAGGTTGTGTTTATATTAATAAAAACATTTTGGTGTAAAGAGGGAAATGTTGTAATAGCAAATTCAGTTTTAACAAGTTAACTCTGATGTTTTACAAGGCCAGTTTTGTCCATGAAGTAATATTCCCTCAGAAACTGTGATAGAGAATTCCAGAATTATGGTTTGTAGACATTTGCTAAGCAAAAGCAAGAATCCATGATTATTCCTTGTGTAAGCATGTTTAAGCTAGATTAAGGTTTGTTTCTAAATTACAGCCAAAACTGATTAAAATGTGTAGAAGATCCATATACCCTCCCCTCTTTTTTGAGACAGAGTCTCCTGTAGCCCAGGCAGTACTCAAACTTAATATATAGCCAAAAATAACTTTGAACTTCTGATCTTCCTGCCTCCACCTTCCAGGTGCTGGGATTGTAGGCATGTAGTACCACGCTAGGATTATGCCATGCTAGGTATCAAACCAGGGCCTTGTGCATGCTGGACAACCACTTTACCAACCAACCTACATCCCAGACCCACATAAAGCTTTTGGTAGACATTTAAATTGCTGATTCTGGGCCAAGAAGAGGACTCAGTGGGAAAAGGAGGCTAGTGACCTGAGTTCAATTCCCAGAACCCTCAAAAGGGTAGAAGGAGAGAACTAACTCCACAAAGTTGTCCTCTCTCTTCTATAAGTGCAATGGCACATACCTTTGCCTTCACAATAGTAATTTTAAAAAATTAAATTGTTGATTCTAGGTACTGCTTCGGTGGTTCCGAAGGCCTGCAAACTGCTTTTATAAATATTATAGTTGAATGGTTGTGGGTATAGCTCAGTGACAGAGTACGTACTTAATATCCATAAGACCCTGGACTTGATCCTGGGCATTCAACTCAAACAAAAAGCAATGTAGCTAAAACTCAAGGAGTAAATTTCATAAACCCTAGTGTTGCCAATTTGCCTGACTTCTGTTCATGGCTTATAAAAGTTGCCACACTTTATTCCCAAGTTATTCACTAGATCATGGTTCAGTGCCACTGGATGGTTCTCACATCCCTACATGTTAAAATTACCTCTGTTCTGTGGGTTCAGAAATGTTCTTGAGGGTATAAGATAAAAGGAAGACTTGCACTTGATACTATAGCCGATACAAAGAGTTTGAAAACTTGTATTTGCCTCAAGGACCTTGTGAGAAGGGGGAGGGTGAACTAGTTCACTGTCAACAGCTTGAAGACCCAGTCAAGAATGGCTTTGAACTTCTGATCGTCCTGCTTCTACCCCCAGAGTGCTGGAATTTCACATGTGGGTCATTATTCTAAGTTTAAGTGGTTATGGAGATCTAACCTAGGGCTTCATGCATGCTAGAAAAGCGCTCTCTGAACTGAGCTACACCCCCAACCTGAGTTTAGGAGTTCTAATATTCAGTCAGACTGCCTTTGCAGGATGCAGAATAAAACAAGCCATTGTCAGTAGACTTCGCAGTGAACTTCAGGTCTAGTCCCATTTTTAAAAAAATATTTGTTATTTTTATTTTATGTCTATGAGTGTATTGCCTACATGTATGTAAGTGTACCTATGTCATGCAATTCCCAGAGGTGAGAAGAGGACATTGGATCCCCTGGAACTGGAGTTATGTACAGTTATTGGCCACTATGTGGGTGCTGGGATTTGAACTGGGGTCCTCTGCAAAAGCAGCTAATGCTCTTAACTGCTTTAAGTCATCTTTTCAACTCCCGTTTCCTTTTAAATTATCAAGAGTCTCTGATTTACATGAGATAGCTTAATCAATAAAGTGCCTGTTGTGCAAGCATGAGGGCCCGAGTTCAGATTCCCAGAACTCATGTAAAAAGTCAAGCACAGCCAGGCATGGTGGTATGCGCCTTTAATCCAAACACTCAGAAGGCAGAGGCAGGCAAATCTCTGTGAGGTCCAGGCCAGCCCAGTCTATATATTGAGTTCCAGGCCAGCTGGGACTACAGGGAGACCCTGTCTCAAAAAACCAAAAAAAACCAAAACAAAACAAGCTGATGGCACAGTGGTCTGTGCTATGTAACACCAGGGTGGAGACAGACAGATCCCTGAGATGCACAGGTCAGCCAGTCTAGCCAAATTGATGGGCTTCAAGTTTACTAAGAGATCCTGTCAAAAAATAAAGATGGAGGGGGCTGGAGAGATGACTCAGTGGTTAAGAGCAGTTTCTGCTCTTCCAGAGGACCTAGGTTCCATTCCAGGAATCCACATAGCAGCTGACAACTGTCCATAACTCCAGTTCTAGGGGACCCAATGCATTCTTTTGAGAAGCATTGCATGACAAGGGTGCACTTACATACATGCAGGCAATACACTCACACACATAAAATAAAAATAATAGTTTTTTTTGTTTTTTTTGTCTTTTTGAGACAGGGTCTCTCTGTAGCCCCAGCTGTCCTGGAACTCACTATGTAGACCAGGCTGGCCTTGAACTCACAGAGATCCACCTGCCTCTGCCTCCCGAGTGCTGGGATTAAAGGCATGTGCCACCACGCCCAGCATAAAGTATTTTTTAAAAAAATAAAGATGGATAGTGACTGAGAAAAGACTCCTGACATCAGCCTCTGACCTCCACATACATGCACGCACATCTACATGTGCACAAACATATACGTGTGCACATATCCACACTATCAAGTACATGCAACATACAAAGATACACAAGGAAATTCTATGTTTTATAAATAAAGCCCTTGGGGGCTGGAGAGATGGCTCAGTGGTTATGAACACTGACTGTTCTTGCAGAAGACCCGGGTTTGAATCCCAGCGCCCACATGGCAGCTAACAACTGTTGGTAACTCCAGCTCCAGGGGATCTGACAGCCTCTTCTGTCCTCCGTGGGCATTCATTGCACAACACAGGTGCACTCACCTACATGTAGGCAATACATGCATACACATAAAATAAAAATAATAAATTAAAAAAATAAATAAATAAAGCCTTTAAGAAACACCTACATGCAGGCAATACATGCATACACATAAAATAAAAATAATAAATTAAAAAAAATTAAAGCCTTTAAGAAACCTTGCGGAGGAGTCGCTGATCTAAGTCAGAGAGGCTGTATCAGTTAGCTTTGGCCATTTAACAAATCACCCCAAAGCTTAGTGGCATAATACAGTCATTGTGCTCACAGTTCTAGGGTTGGCAATATGGACTGAGCCCAGCAGGATGTGTCTTGGGATGTTGGCCAGGATCATTTGTGCAGAAGTGGCCAGTTGCCAGGACAGCTACATGCATGGGGCCGGGCAGAGTCTTCAGGAGGTAAAAAGGAGTTAAGTCACCAGTAGTATGGCAGGGAGTCCGGCAGGTGACAGGGCTTGGGGAAGACTCTGTAATGATGGAGCATACGTGGGCTTTAAACTTCAACCTGGATTGACTGTTGGAACTGCCACTTAACTGAATTGCCCAATCTCCATTTCCTCACTTTTCACAGAGTTT